AAATCATAACTTTCTGTCACTACTAGTTATTGGGCCACCCTGTATACTGGAAAATAATTTAAGAATGTAGTACTCATGTTTATCTACAAGTTTTGTACTAAGTTTTTTCTCCGATCTTCGTTAGTATAGGAGATATAGACCACCGCGCGCTTAGTAACTTACCCTGTATAATACCACAAGAGAAAAAAATTTGTTGGCAAAATTGAAAGTTTGTTGCTTGGCAATTTCGCAAATGACATTTTGGACAAAACCACTCGCCTGACGGCTCGTGGTTTTGTCAAAAATTTCATGAGCGAAATTACCAAAAAGCAACAAACTTGAATAAAACCAAGAGAATAATTTTGCCTACATAATTTTTTCTTGAGTGGTATTCGGCTGAACTATTTCACGAGAAAAACAAGCCAAATTTTCATGTTGGTTTTGCCCAGGTAGGATCAGGTAGAAGTTTTGTCAGTAGGAAACCGGCCGTTCCTATGACATTTTGCCAGTGAAAAATACTCTAGTGAAATAGTCATATATAATACCCCAAGAGAATAGTTATTTATGGTACTAGTGTGTTATGTTGAAAATAAGTCACGCGAGAAAGATTTATACCACGAGGCCGTCAGGCCGAGTGGTATAAATTCTCAAGTGACTTAGGAAACATAACACACGAGTGGCATACAATGTTTTATCCCAACAAGTAGAAGAAATCGTGTTTTTTATGAGATAATACAAAAAAAATACAAGGTTCTATTAGTCTGCGTCTTCCAGCACTATCAGCAGCTGTACCGATATCGGAGCGTCTGGTTCCAATGAACCAACGAATTTTACAATGACTTCAAATTCGAATAAACCGTTAACATTTTCCTTTAATTGTAATTGTAATAGTAATAAATAAATAGAATACTACTTTAAATATGAACGTGAGTTATAAACCATAACTCACTATTGAGTTATAATCCATAACTCACTAGTGAGTTATGGATTATAACACACTAGTGTGTTATTTGATAGTTTACTTGTCTAAAATGACATTAATAATAATAGTCATAACTGTCATGTGTTGGATAAAACATTTTGTTGGCAAAATTTTCGACTGGTATGAAAGCTTGTTGCTTGGCAATTTCGCGAATGACATTTTTGACAAAACCACGAGCCGTCAGGCGAGTGGTTTTGTCAAAATTTTCATGAGCGAAATTACCAAAAAGCAACAAATTTGAATAAAACCAAGAGAATAATTTTGCCTACATAATTTTTTCTTGAGTGGTATTCGGCTGGACTATTTCACGACAAAAACAAGCCAAATTTTCATTTGGAATTTTTTTTTTTTTTAGGTGACACTTGTCAAACTCACTTAGACTATCCAAAACACGTGACTTTGACAAGCAAAATATGGCCGACAAGAGGCACACAAACATTGACACAAACACAAACCATAACGTCATTATGTTAGTCATTAATGATCATATTCAATACTTATTTTCTATTGTGTACGTCCCAATTTTTGCCAGTGTCTACCCAATTACGCAATGCTTATTGTTTGGGCAAGGTTGCTCTACCTGCATTTCACTTGGAGACACAGGATCTACCCTTGATGTGAAAATATTTATGTATTTCAACTCCACCGTCCAGTGTTGTGCTTTGATTTGTATTGTTTTTTTTTTAACTCGGAATTTGAAAAAAACTTAAGAATGTCTCGATCTCCATGACTTCCACATTTAATAATACAACACGTTATATACATGTTTTTCGCGTTTTTAAGAACTATTTACTACTATTTCCATTCACTATTCAAATATACTATTTCTAACATTAATAAAAACAACAGTTTTAAGTATCAGAACGCAAATAATTCACAATGAACCCTATTTTAAGCTCATATATTATTTGATGACAAATTCGATGACACATAAACAAAGGGTTTGTGTGCCTCTTGGCGGACATTTTGATTCAAGTTTGACAGCATCTTGGATAGTCTAATAGTTTTTTACCTTAACCACACAAAATTTTGTCGCTGAAAAACCATCATGTTGGTTTTGCCCAGGTAGGAACAGGTAGAAGTTTTGTCAGTAGGAAACCGGCCGTTCCTATGATATTTTGTTAGTGTAAAACACTCTAGTGAAATAGTCACTGTAAAATATTATTGTATAATTTAACTTTGGTTATGAAAATCAATCATTTTTTTTCAAAAGAATATACAGGGTGATTCCAAAATGGCGCATAAACTCTCCACTACCCTCTGTTTTAATAATGAACTTTGCGCCTGTCCTACTTACCTAATTAATATCTTAGTAGGTAACGTTGCCAGATTCATTTTTTGGATTTAGAGGTAGAGATTTTACAGTTTGCAAAATGTATTTTAAAAGGTAGAATCTGACTAATGTGATCTTTTTTGTCATAGATCAATAAAAGACATCTAGAAGTTTATGGGGAATATCGCAATTAAAAAAGAAAAATCGGAAATAAAGAAGTTGACTTCGCAACTGTACTCCTTCATATCACCCAGCTTGGTCAAGGCGGATTTTTTTCACTATTTTTTTGAGGTTCCCTGAAAAATCCCCTACGACGTATTGGAGAACTTATGCGTCATTTTGGAATCACCCTGTATTTTCCATAAAAGTGATATTATTTTAATTTTTAGCAGGGTGGTCCAAGTTGGACACTTTCAAAAGGAAAAGTTTCATAACTTTTTTATTTATGAAAATAGGTAATTGATTTCCGTAAAAGCTTTCTAGAAGTACTTTTTTAAGCAGAATCAACGACATTCCCAGTTTTTTTAATATTTATTGAAATCAGCAAAAGCGAAGCTATCCAATAGAGTTCTCGTGCTGTCCCAATTTCAAATAACGTAACGCTATTTGACAAGTATGACAGTTCTTACGGTATTAGCGTTAGCGGAGCTTGCTACCTAACGGAACTTAACGGATGCCTTACCGTAACGCTACGCTATGTCAAAATTAGTTGACGCTCCATTTACGTCTGCAAAAACAGCAGCTTCCAATAATTCCTCCATAAAAGCACCAAGGGAAAATTGATGAAACTCAGGAATCTTCAGAATAAGTAAAAACTGGTAAACAAGCAAAAAAAAGTTGGGTTAGATCACTCAGCTCAGCTGTCATTATGTAAACAGAATAAGGGATTAGAGAATTTTTGCGTCTTCGTGTCCGAGAACTAAAATACCATGTAAAATACCGTATTGTTAGCGGTACCGTATTAGCGTAGCGTCCGAGGCACGAGAACTTTCTAATGAGTTATTGAAATATAAGCTTTTGTATTTAAAAAAATCTGACTTTCCATAAATAAAAAAGTTATGAAGCTCTTCCTCCCATTTTGATTGTACATAAGGGATATCTTGGTTACTATTGGAAGAAGGATGCAACTTTCGCGAGCGTTGGCTTGTTTTTTGTCAAACGAAATTGTCATCGCCCTTCTTGTTTTTCAGGTACAAAGTGTTTTCGAAAATGAAACATTTTGGGACACCCTGTGTATCTCGATTCTCTCTCATTCAAATGAGACACCCTGTATATTAATGAATCATTGGATAGCTTTGCTTTTGCTGATTCCGATGATATAAAGTTCGATAGGTTTATCTCGATTATGTCTGTTTTTGTCATAAGAAACAATGTGTTGGAAAAGGATTTTATTTCTGTAAAGAAAATGAGAAAGGTCTCTTTCTAACACATCGTTTCTTATGATAAAAACAGAGAAACATCTTTTGCTCGAAAACAAAAACTGTTAAAGATAAACCTATCGAGCTGATTGAAAGCATCAAAAGTAGAAGCTATGAGTTATTAATATACTCTTATGTAAAAAAAAAACGTATGTTTAGCTCATAATGTAAAAACTATCACTTCTAGACTCCGCCACTGGAATCTACGTAGAAAGATCTATAAGAACCCGTTGTCACCTTTTTGATCAGTTATGACAGAACCGAGATACAATGGGTGTCCCAATATGCAACATTTCCAAAAACACCTTGTATCTGAAAAACAAAAAGGGCGATGACAATTTTGTTGAACAACATCTTTCGTTTGACTAAAAAGTAGTTAACGTTCGCGAACACCGGATCCTTCTAACTCCAATAGTAACCATTATCCCTTGTAAAATCAAAATGGGACGCCCTATATATGCTAGAAATTAAAATAATATCACTTTCGTGGAATATACAAAAGAAAATGCCTGATGATATCTACAAAAGTTAAATTACAATATTTTACAGCAATAAAAATCTTCGACCTAATTTTTCAGATTTTTCAGTATCACCTTGCTGTATCGCTGCAAAATCGATACAATCAAAGAAAATAATGTACTAAAATTTCAACAAAATCTGCCGGTGACCAAAATCCATAAGAAGTGTGAGATGTTCTTTAGAAAAATATACAAAATATGAGAGCCTGGAATAGAAAAACTACAAAAGAGCTCCTTTACTTCCTCTTTTCACTCCAAAAGTTTTAAAATTTTCACCTCAGTTTTTTGTATTTTGAAACTTGATTTTATACAATTTCTCATGCTGTCGTTTTTTACTGAATAACTTCGAAATTTTTAGAAAATGAGCTCCTTTTCTTTTTTTCACCCCAAAAGTTTCATTAAAAAAATCAGATTTTCCTCAATTTGTCTTAAATTTCCTCTTTATTTCGCAATTTATTTTTTTAAATTTCTATCTTGGCTCTTCAATCTTCTTTAAATAAAGAAAGTTCAGAGAAATGAACAAAATATGAGAGCTTGGAATAGAAAAACTATGTTTTTTTGTCAAACAAGTTCTTCCTCAATTTGCCTTAAATTTCCTCATTATTTCCTAATTTTTGCTCTTGAATCTTCAATACTTTTTAATCTTTTTTGCCCTAATTTAGGCATCTGTCACCATATCCGAGATCCCAATAATTTTGCTCCAATTTGAAACACCCTGTACATCGATAATTCTTGTCGAACAAATCCAACCAATCAAACAAATTCGTACCCCTCCCTTTCACTCAATCCACAAAAAAAAAAACATTTTAACAAATAAAATCAATTCTTACCGGAAGCCATTTCGAAACTGAGGCCCAACGATTCCAAATCGACGGTGCCCGATTGGTTCAGTTGCTGTTGCAATTGTTGCGCAGGCGTCGGACCCGATCTTTGTCCGCCCGCCGGCTGTTGCTGCGCGGTGCGCGCTCCGACTACTGCGCGCAATTCTTGTCTGACAAATTCCGAGGTCGGATTCGAACCGGCAACACCTAAAGCAATTTTTAAATTATTCAAGAGTTTTAAATGTTTTTAGCTGTTATACAGCTACTTGTTAGTGGTTTTGCATGCCAAATTTACAACAAAACATATACAAAGCGATACAAAAAGCAAAACATTTTACAATTGAATTTTGTTGTTTGGTAATATGGAACAAGTTTTGCACTCTAGAGTTTATATTAAATGAAAAATTCTAGGGTGCAAATCAGCAATGATAAGTGTTGTGTTTAATTTTTTTTTTAGGAGTTGGAAAAAACAATATGGAATTGGAATTTCGGAAGGGATTTTGGAATAAGGAAGCTTCCCCAGTGATTTTTTTTTTTTTAGCACAGCTAGCATGAATAATGAATACATTGAAATGATTTAGGTCCAATGATGCATTGGTGATATAATGTTAGACACAAAATCAGTGCCGATGATATAATGCTATTGGTGATGATGGGTTTTACATTGAACGGTCTCCAAAATAACCAGTTTTGTTTTAGCTTAAAATTTGGTGCTCAAATAAAAATTTTTCAATTTAAATGATGTTGGTAAGAGTCTAAGGTGAGGTGAGCAAAACATACTTAAATTTCAAACTTATTGAATGAAAAAATGTAAAATAACAAAGTTTTTAAAAATGGTAATTTTCTTCTATAAGACTTAATATGACCTGCCTCCACATTTTGACTATTGTGTAGATTTTATAGTTTTCTTGTTTTTGTCTGACCTTGTTTACATTCCACCTGGACTGGGTGTTTTTTGTTGTTTTTACTTTAAAATTACTTGAGATTTCCGCTGATTGCAGAAGATTTTGATGGTTTCGTAGCCATCCAAAAAATAATATCTTTGTTATGATATCACAAATGTGAATAAAAGAAAGTTATGGGTCTGGGAGACTTCAGTCTGATCTCAGTCCTGATTTTCTTCAAAAAAATTTTCAGTGATTTAAAAGCCAGTACAATAATAATCAAAATTTGAACTATTCCTGGCTCTTGATGATTTCGTCTGGAAAAGTTTTCTGCCCAAAGTATACGGAAATTGTGTTTATGTCAGAATTGGCTTAATTTTGTATGTAATATAGATCACGCCTTTCTGATTAAAAGTTACCATTGCACCAATCTTGAAAAATTACTATACGTAGCACACCACTGCGCCACAAGCTTACTTATTTGTGTTACATTGTATGTACAGGGTGGGCATTTTATTAGGGGCCTATGTCTTTTCTCAGAAACTACAGGGTGTACAAAAAAATATATAAATACAAAAGTTTCTTGGTTTTCAGCAATGTGGTCAATTATTTGAGTTTTATTTATACAGGGTGTCCCAAAAGTGCTGCACCGACTTCAAAACCAGAATTTTAAATGGAACACCTTGTATATTTTTACATTTTTGGATTCCCGGAGAAAAATAAAGGTAACTTTCATTAGGAATTCCCATTCGAATTTTGTGTAATTTAGGCAGAAATTGAGGTTATGTAATTTTTTTAGCAAATTTATGCCCTCAGCAAACAGTGTCTTGAGCGGCTGGTAGTTGAGATTATTAAATAAAATTTCAACCACACCTTAAGAAAACTACCTCCCAACGATCTACGATGGCTAGGTGCTTCAAATTTATACAGGGTGTCTCAAATCATAGGACATTTTTTTCAATTTTGAATTTTCAATATCCAAGTTTTTTTTAATAGAACACCCTATATTTGATATTTTTTTGTTGAAAAGGCTAAAAATACCTCATCATATATATATGTCCTATACCTAAAACTACTAGTCCACGAAATATAGGTACCTACCCATTGCAATAATAACATCCTTCGAAAAAACCATGCTAATTCACTATTTTACCCCACTGTGAATGTGATATTAACCGCGCTCGTCGTATCCATGACGACAAAATAATTTTTTGACAGATTTCACATTAGGTTTGCTCGAACTTAGTTCAGAATCAGTTCTGAATTGAACTATGCATGCGCATTTGTTTATTTATGTTCTATTTGAACAAATGCGCAAGCGCAGTTCAATTCAGAACTGATTCTGAACTAAGTTCGAGCAAACCTAATGTGAAATCTGTCAAAAAATTATTTTGTCGCCATGATTACGACGAGCGCGGATAATATCACAGTGGGGTAAAATAGTGAATTAGCATGGTTTTTTCAAAGGATGTTATTATTGCAATGGGTATATTTCGTGAACTATCAGATTTAGGTATAGGACATATATAAATAAATAGATAGGTATTTTTAGCCTTTTTAACAAAAAAATATCAAATATAGGGTGTTCCATAAAAAAAAACTTGGATATTGCCAATTGAAAATTTAAAAAAATGTCCCATGATCTGAGGCACCCTGTATAAATTTAAAGCGCCTAGCCATCATAGATCGTGGGAAGGTAGTCTTCTTAAGGTGTGGTTAAAATTTTATTTAATAATCTCAACTACCAGCCGCTAAAGACATTATTTGCTGAGGGCATAAATTTGCTTAAAAAAATACATAACCTCAATTTCTGCCTAAATTAGGTACACAAAATTCGAATAGGGAGTCCTTATGAAAGTTACCTTCATTTTTCTCCGGGAATCCAAAAATGTAAAAATATACAAGGTGTTCCATTTAAAATTCTGGTTCTGAAGTAGGTGCAGCACTTTTGGGACACCCTGTATCAATAAAACTCAAATAATTAACAACATTGCTTAAAACCAAGAAGCTTTATTTATATTTTTTTTGTACACCCTGTAGTTTCTGAGAAAAGACATAGGCCCCTAAGAAAATGCCCACCCTGTACTTGAACAATAACTTATACAGGGTGTCCACTTAGTGCGATATCGGACGATATCTCCTTACAGGGTGATGCAAGAAAAAAAATTTAAATTACAAAGTTGCTTGATACTCTAATATGCATTAGTTAAAAATATTTCTGAATATAAAGGGTGCTCCGTATATGGGGTATACGACAGAACTTTGTTATTTTAAATGGAACACCCTGTATGTGATTGCATATTTGGATTTTACGTGAAATTCTGAGCAGATTTCATGTGTTATACCCTTTACCTAAGTTCAACTGTTTTGGAAATATTGACAGTAGAAAATTGACTTTTTGCAACTTTGACAGGCTGTAAAACCTAAACGGTTAATTTTAGACGGAAACCGATTTTACATTCCTATCTTAGATTTTTATAAACTATCATTTGACACCAACTTTGAATTTGATCCATGATTAAAAATTCCAGTTAAATTTAATCTCCGATTAAATTCAAAATTGGTGTCAAATGATAGTTTATGAAAATCTAAGATAGGAATGTAAAGTCGGTTTGCGTCTAAAATTAATCGTTCAGGTTTTACAGCCTGTCAAAGTTAATTTTCAACTGTCAATATTTCCAAAATAGTTGAATTTAGGTATCGGGTATATTACATGAAATCTGCTCAGAATTTTACATAGAATCTAAATATGCAATCACATACAGGGTGTTCCATTTGAAATAACAAAGTTCTGTCGCATACCTCATAAATGAAACACCCTGTATATTCAAAAATATTTTCAACTAATACATATTAAAGTATCAAACAACTTGGTAATTTAATTTATTTTTTCTTGCATCACCCTGTAAGGAAATATCGTCCGATATCGCACTAAGTGGACACCCTGTATAAAGTCAGAATTTGTAACATTATCCACTTTTTGTCAATTTGCCTTTCAACAGGAATTAATAATGTTACTTTACCAAAGTAGTAACATAATGTGACAACTTATTCAAGTACAAACGAGTGGATTGTTATGGAATTTATGGGTGGACTTCTGCAGGACGAGCGCAGCGAGTTCCGCAGTCATCTATTCATTAATACGTTGTTCAAGTACGATACTAACCTGAATCACTCAAATGTCAGTTATTCTCATTAGTTCAAAAACTACAAGTTTCAGGTGAGTGTCTTATTTGAATAGTTCAACAGTATATTGGTGAGTAGATGGCTGCGGGACGAGCGCAGCGAGTTATTTAAAATTTCATAAATCTCAAATGCGAATTATGATGAAATAAACAGTTTTTTATATCATCATAATTCGCATTTTAACACCCTGTAAGTATAATGTATGTACAGGGTGTCCCGACATTCTGAGAGGTCCACCCATAAGTTCCACAATAATCCACTTATTTGTACTTGAACAATAACTTATCATATAAAATCAAAATTTGTAAGATTATGATTATTCACTTTTTGTCAATTTGCCTTTCAATAGGAATTAGTAATGTTACTTTTTGAAACACATAATGTGACAAGTTATTCAAGTACAAATGAGGAAATTATTGTGAAACTTATGGGTGGACCTCTGCGGGACGAGCGCAGCGAGTTCCGCAGCCATCTATTTATCAATATATTATTTAATTACGATACTAAATTGACTAACTCAAATGTGCGTTATTTTCATTAGTTTAAAAATCACGTTTCAGGTGAATGTCTTACTTGAACAGTTCAACAGTATATTGGTGATTAGATGGCTGCGGAACTCGCTGCGCTCGTCCCGCAGAGGTCCACCCATAAGTTTCGCAATAATCCACTTATTTGTACTTGAACAATTACTTATTATATGAACTCAGAATTTGTAATATTGTCAACTAGCTGCTTAGGAAAGGAGGACCCGGTATTCAACCTTATTAATTTAATTGCCGATTCGGTCGGATGTTTATTGCAATTCAGCAATAAATTGATATAAATTGCACTGCAAGCCGCAGCAAAGGCAGACTTAAACCAGTGCAAGTACCTCTCGTTGGAAAAGCCCCTCTGGAATTAAATCTCCCCAGTGCAAGTACCTCTCGTTGGGAACGCCCCTCTGGGTATCTTCAGCCTTATCGTTGTCCAGTGCAATTACCTCTCGTTGGGAACGCCCCTCTGGACAAGGCATAAGGGTGACGATAAACTAATCTACAGTCTCCCAAGCAGCGTTGACGTGTGCTTTCCTATAAGGACCCCAGTATTCGAAGGGTCATGTATCTTATAGGAGTAGCGTACATGTAAAGTTATATTTGGGAAAATAGATATCTATATTTTTATATAACCTGAGCGAGTTTCTCTCCATCAACCCCCAAAGCTACAAACCCCCCATGTCATCCCCGTAAAGCGGGCAGTTGTGACAATATTATCCACTTTTTGTCAATTTACCTTTTAACAGGAATAAGTAGTGTTACTTTACCAAACTAGTAATATATTGTGACAAGTTTTTCAAGTACATACGAGTGGAATGTTGCGGAACTTATGGGTGGGCCCAGCCATCTATTCACCAATATGTTGTTCAAATACTAACCTGATTCACTCAGTTGTGAATTTTTCTAATTAGTTTAAAAACTACACGTTTCAGGTGAGTGTCTTATCTGAACAATTCAACAGTATATTGGTGAGTAGATGGCTGCGGAACTCGCTGCGCTTGTCCCGTAGAGGTCCACTCATAAGTTCCGCAATAATCGTATGTTCATTACAATGTCCAAGCGTTTCACTTGCTACCTATGAAATTAATTTCCTCAAAAAGGAATCATTTTTCAGAATCGGTGCAAAGGTAACTTTTAATCAGGAAGGCGTGATCTACATTATACAACAAAATTTAGCCAATTCTGACATAAACACCATCTCCGTATACTTTGGGCAGGGTCCTTTGAATTATTTCCGGCTCATCTCAATGCCTCAAGAGCCGATAATAATCAAAATATGCCTTACAATAAAGCCAAATTTGAAAAAATTTTGAAGATTAAGATAAATCAGCAAATCCAATCAATCACAATGGGCCACATACACTTTCAAATCAATCAATCAATAAATTGACTTTGAAGGAATCTAATTCACTAGGTCGATTGAGAAGTTTTCTGATGAAGACATAGATGAGAAGTTAAGATCTATCCAAAGATGTATGCAGAATAATTATTTCTAGAAAGTCAGAGAAGGCTTGAAGAAAATCCATGCGAAATATATATCAAACATTACATTACATTAAATCACCTCTGAGGGGACAGAAAAACTGGTAAAAGTATTGAAAGTTGGATTGTATTTCCTTATAGAACAAAGGACATGAAATCGATATTATTTCCACAAATTCAATACTTAGTCATGATGGCTTCCAAAATCGTCAGATCTCACATCATTTGACTCTTTTTTATGAAGATGGTAATAAAGTAAAGTTAACAATAACATCAATATTTACAGCATTCATGTAAGTTCTTTTTCTCTACATGAGACATTGAGCTCATTCCTCCCAACTCACCTTATCTTACATTGACTTGAAGAAAAATTCAAAAATCTCTCTTGAAATAGGCAACACTTATACCTTTAACAATTTGGTTATTTTAGAGTACCGACACTGACCAATATAATAGATAAAAAAATACACTGAACGACGTGCTCGATTAATGGCGCTCCCCAAAATCGTCTCCTCTCAGTTCATCCCGTAGTCACTTACCAGGCTGTAGATGTTGGGCGCCACCCCTGCGCTCGTAGCCCAAATTGGGCGGTTGCTGCTGCTGTTCGTAGCAATTATAGGGGGAATCCTGGTGTTGCGTCTGCGCCCCGTATAGCATAGGATTTTGGGGTATGGATTGGAGATGGGTGGGTGGGTAGTGCGGTGGAGCTTGGCCCGAGTACGATCTGGGCGAACCCAGACCACCTGTAAAACACCCATATCGGCCATTTTTAGATACACCTTTCGGTTTTTGGAAACGGTGCGGCCGAGTGGTTTGCTCCTAGTACTTTTTTTGTAGTCCAGAATTATAGGGGTGATAATGATTTTTTTTGCTTTTTGTAGTTTCCTCAATGAAAGACAATTATTGACGAAGTCAAGAAACTTTATACAACAATGTTTGTTACTGTTTAAACTACAAGACTGAAATCCTAGAAGTACCTTTCAATGTAGTTTAAGTAGGTGTCAACAATACAGGAATAATTTTTTTGCTAAAAAAATGCATTAAATTCACTAAAAACTACCAGTCCAATACCTCAACCGAACCACAGGCTTTAGAATTATTATATATAAATCACTAAAATAATGGTTAAACAAAATTACTTGTAAAATAATAATAAATAAAATCAACCACATGCCACTGCACAAATCAACTTTTATTAACTAGCAATTTTTCAACGTTTTCCAAAAGAAAAATATAATTGCAAACAAGTGATTTGATTATAATAAATTCAATTTACCTAATGGAAAACGCCAAATGCTGAATTTAAGTCACAGCAGATTCTATCATTGAGGAAAGTACAAGAGATAGAAAGGCCTAAAACATGCATCAAAAAGTATCAGTTGTAAACCACAGTACGCATCTAATTTATTACACTTCTACTAATTACAATATTATTATTTTTTTAAGGCAGGAAAAAAATTAAAAACCATGCTTAATGCTTGTATTAATATTGAGATTCAAGCATTGAATAAACTAATTATTAGAGGGTTTTTCAGTTGGAATCAGTCTAAGCTGGGCTCAGATTTCATTCAACTTCCTGTCAAGGAAGACTTATGACGACATAAAATCACCCTAAACTGACTGAGTTAAAAACTCTCTAATGTGACTATTAGACCGTCATATAGTGACATATTTGGGTGCCCCATTTTCGCATACAAGCCTCGAAGAGGATTGAAAAGTACATCGATTTTGAGTAGGATGAAGGTATTTTCACGTGTGACTCCTGGGGATAACATATGGAAAATTGGATTTTCCATAACAGAAATGAAAGACGTCCTGGTGCCCATATTTTCTTGCAAGCCGTGTTCACCAAAGGATTAAATCATAAATCCTGGCTTTGTGAAAACAAAGAAGGGGGTGTTGCAGGTGGCTGAAGGTTTGAAATAAGGGTCTAATGTGGTAAGGAAAAATCGAGATTTTGGGCATTTTTTCCACACAAGCCCATCGTAAGGATGAAAATCTACAAAGTTGGTAGCAAGAAAACATATTGGCTTCTGTGTCGCGAATGGAAAAGTACATTTCAAGGTAACATAAGTAAAATCGAATTTTCCATATGTTATCCCAGGAGCCACTCGTGAAAATACCTTCATCGTACTCAAAATCGATGTACGTTTCAACCCTCTTCGAGGCTTGTATGCGAAAATAGGGCACCTATCTGACAGTCTATATAGGTGTTTGTTCCAACTACTTATTTGTGGATTTTTGATTGGTTTAAGTGAACCAATCAAAACTTTATTTTTGTAGAAATCCTGTAGGATTTTGAATTGTCTACAGTCAAATTAGAACCCAATCTAACTGTATACATTCTCAGATCAACTGCAAATACTACAGGGTGTTAATAAAAAACGCCTCACTTGAATAAATACAATCTCAATATATCTTTAACAGATGATTTTAAACAGACTCGTGAGAAGAAACAACAACTTTTCTGATTGAGTAAGAAAGACCATTTTCCACAATTTTGATATTGTCTTTATCATATACAAGGTGATTTAATTCAGACAGTATTCATAGGAAATGTCAATTTCTGAGCGAAATACAACCGAGATTCAAATGAAACTGGTACAGACCGCATTTTGATATCTTCATTTATTAGTAATATATAATGTGAAACTTATAATACCTACCGGTTTTTGATTGGCTACAAAACTTTACTAGAAGTAATCAAGTGCCTGTTATAGTCAAATTTTTGTTTATTACAGGATTTTGATTAGCTGGGAATCTTTTCTAGAACCAATCAAAAGCCTGTAATAATCCGAATTTTGATGCGGATTGCACCAATTAGGATTTCATGAAATTTGAGCCTCAGATTGGGAAGTTGAATTTTTTGTATCTGGCCCAGAAATATCTACCAGCTTTTGATTGGCTACAAAACTTCACTAGAAGTAATCAAGTGCCTGTTATAGTCAAATTTTTGTTTATTACAGGCTTTTGATTAGCTGGGAATCTTTTCTATAACCAATCAAAAGCCTGCAATAATCCGAATTTTGATGCGGATTGCACCAATTAAGATTTCATGAAATTTGAGCCTCAGATTGGGAAGTTGAATTTTTTGTATCTGGCCCAGAAATATCTACCGGCTTTTGATTGGCTACAAAACTTCACTAGAAGTAATCAAGTGCCTGTTATAGTCAAATTTTTGTTTATTACAGGCTTTGGATTAGCTGGGAATCTTTTCTAGAACCAATCAAAAGCCTGTAATAATCCGAATTTTGATGCGGATTGCACCAATTAGGATTTCATGAAATTTGAGCCTCAGATTGGGAAGTTGAATTTTTTGTATCTGGCCCAGAAATATCTACTGGCTTTTTATTGGCTACAAAACTTCACTAGAAGTAATCAAGTGCCTGTTATAGTCAAATTTTTGTTTATTACAGGCTTTTGATTAGCTGGGAATCTTTTCTAGAACCAATCAAAAGCCTGTAATAATCCGAATTTTGATGCAGATTGCATCAATTAGGATTCCATGAAATTTGAGCCTCAGATTGGGAAGTTGAATTTTTTATATCTGGCCCAGAAATATCTACCAGCTTTTGATTGGCTACAAAACTTCACTAGAAGTAATCAAGTGCCTGTTATAGTCAAATTTTTGTTTATTACAGGCTTTTGATTAGCTGGGAATCTTTTCTAGAACCAATCAAAAGCCTGTAATAATCCGAATTTTGATGCGGATTGCACCAATTAGGATTTCATGAAATTTGAGCCTCAGATTGGGAAGTTGAATTTTTTGTATCTGGCCCAGAAATATCTACCAGCTTTTGATTGGCTACAAAACTTCACTAGGAGTAATCAAGTGCCTGTTATAGTCAAATTTTTGTTTATTACAGGTTTTTGATTAGCTGGGAATCTTTTCTAGAACCAATCAAAAGCCTGTAATAATCCGAATTTTGATGCGGATTGCACCAATTAAGATTTCTCAAAATTTGAGCCTCAGATTGGGAAGTGGATTTTCTGTATCTGGCCTAGTAATTGACGTTTCCAGTATCCAAATTGGATCACTCTGTATACAAATCAACATTTACAAGGAGATCTTCATCTTATCGTCAAAAAAAAAAAATATTTCACAAATAATCAACCATTAAAGAAATATTGAGGATTGTTCCTTAAGGACGATAGTTCTGTACATACTCTGTCTCTGATTGGTTGATTTTTCAAAATTCATTTGCAAAAAAAAAACCTCACATCAGAATTGGCTCAAATTTGTAGTAGTAATGTTACTTTACCAAACTAGTAATATATGACAAGTTATTTAAGTACAAACGGGTAGATTGTTGCGGAACTTATCAGTGGCGAGTTCCGCAGCCATCTATTCATCAATATGTTGTTCAAGTACAATATGCTAACCTGATTCACTCAGTTGTGAATTTTTCTCATTAGTTCAAAACTACACGTTTCAGGTGAATGTCTTATTTGAACAGTTCAACAGTATATTGATGAGTAGATAACTGCGGAACTTGCTGCGCTCGTCCCGCAGACACCCCACCTACAGCCTTTACCTTTACAGGTAGAAGAAAGGTATAAATACAAAAGTTGTACAGTTTTGGCTAAATTTTTAGAATCCACGGTCAGAAACAATAATTCAATGTCAGAAAATTTTACATGCTTTCAGCTTTTTTCGAAAGGGATGCTCTATATTAAGTTCTATATTCTTAAAGAGCACAATACCCTGATCCCATTTGAAAAAAGCTGAAAGCATACAACATTTCACATTTCTGACATTCAATTTTTGTTTCTGATCATGGTTTCTAAAAATTTAGCCAAAACTGTACTTACAGCTTATGTATTTACACCTTTCTTCTACCTGTAAAGGTAAAGGCTGTAGGTGGGGTGTCAATATATAAAAAAACACCCTGTACAGGGTCTTTCCCAATACATTGATCCCCCCCACTAGGGGTTATGTGAAGAGATATCAAAAAGTTGCAAATACAAAAGTTTTGGGGTTTCACATGAAATTTTTGGGTCCGATGTCAAAAACTTTTTTGTTTTTTTAGAAATATCAAATTTTGACAGATGGTCAGTTTTTTCTTATGAGACACCCTATATATGATTTCATAGTTGAAAAGAGTCGAATTTTCTAATTCGAAATGTATATGGTTTAACTAATTTTAATTAAGCCGTTTTGGAAACATCGGGGTCTACTAAACTTCAAGAAAATAATACATTGAAACACGTCTGTGACAACCAACATGAGAACCATTCTAGAACAGTAATTTCCAGTTTCCTACCCATTATTCAAGTTGAAAGTTTACCTAATTGACAAATGAATCTACTCGAAATTACCGGTTTTCATGTTGGCTGGAACAGAGCTGATTTGTTTCAGTGTATTATTTTCTCGAAGTTTAGAACCCGATATTTCTAAAACAGCTCAATTGAAAGTAGTTAAACCATATACAATGTGTCCAAGATAAGAAGGGTCAGAATGGGGATCTAATAATATGGTGGCCAAAAGATGAAACGTTGGATTACAAATTTGATAATGCCATAATCTAGAGGAGGAAAAGTTGAAATGCGAGGTGCCATTTATTTTGAAATATCTCTTCAAATAAGGTCAGGAAAAAATAAAATTGTTTTGGGGAAAACGGGTTTTCTCGAATATCTCGGGTATGACTCGGAATTTTTGAAATATCAGAGCGGTATTTTAATGAGCACAAAATTCCGCAACTTTTTCCTAATTTGAGCAAACGTCGTATCTTTCACTGTTCCCGAGATCCCTGTACTGGCCCTCTTTATCTTTTATCTTGGACACATTGTATATATTTCAAATCACAAAAATTGACTCTTTCCAACTATGAAGTCATATATAGGGTGTTCCATTAGAAAAAGTGACCGTTTGTCAAAATTTGACATTTTAAAAAAAAAAAAAGTTTGTGACATAACCCCAGTAGTGGGGGGGTCAATATATAGTGTAAGACCATGTACAATCCAAATATTTTAGTTTTTCAATATTTTGCGTTTTACTCAAAATGGTCTAGTTGCCTATTTCTCAGGGTTTAAGTAATAATGAGGTTACGCAAAGAAAAAAATTGAAAAACTAAAATACTTGGATCGTAGATAATCGATTAAAGAATGTTTATACCAAATTTGAGCAAATTCTGATATAAGGTTTCTTTTTTCTCTTAGCAGATGAACTTAAAAAAAAACAACCAATCAGAGGCGGAGCACAGAAATTAAAAATTTCAAGGTCATTGACGATAACAGTATAAGTTTTACATGACGCATATTAGTTTTGCCAAAACCAATCAGCTACTTTGTACTGCAATTTCTATAAACACCTCTAAACTAATTCACACGCTCATCCACTGACCTGTCATCTGAGAACTGGTAGTAGGAACGGAATTGGCCCTCTGCAATCTTTGCAGGTACTGATTCTGGTTGAAAGCCGCAGTAGGCGAGGAGGGCGGAGCAAATTGGTCCCCGCCAAACGGCGAATGCCTGGTATTACCGCCGGGACTATTCAGCGCCCTCTGTTGTTGCGACTGTTGAGCCGAGGGTGGTCTCTGAAAATTGCCACGCCCTGTTAGAGTGCCCTAAAGAGAAAGAGGATTGTATTTGGAATTAAATGATGAAGGATGAAATTGTTGGGATGGCAATATGAAGATTAACTTACAGTCAGTTGGGCGTTTAGCATAGGATTTTGCACGGTTAATCTTTGTTGCTGTTGCGCCCAATTGGAACCGCCAGCAGTTCCGTTGCCCTGAGTTGTGTAAGTTTGTCTTGGCGACAATTGAGAATTGTACTGAGACTGTGGAGATAAACGTTGTTGCTGGCTATAATTCCCAGCGGCAGTGGTTTGAGGTTGAAAGTTCTGAGGCGAATAAGGTTGTTGTTGTTGTTGGCGGTTGGATTGCACTCCTCTTTGGTTCGATTGAGACAGCTACAATTATTGCCAATTAGTGATCGATTTGATTCTCTGATGGAATACTTACCGAATTAGAACCTTGTAATTGGTTGTTGTAACCAGGAGACAGTTGCGACTCTGGTATACTACTAGAGCGTTGCAAGGTTACATTTGGAGCGACCGTATTGTTGAGAAGACTGTCGAAAGTTTGGGTCGGATTAATACTGGCCGAAGCGTTATTGGACAAAATCACCAGTTGCTGTTGCTCCTGATTAAAAAACAAAAATCGAACACAAATTATTTTGAAAAATATTCACACAATTACCTGTTGTTGCAACAAACGCCTCTTTTGTTCTTCGGCTTCGCGGTGCTGTATTTTCCTTTGCTGTTCGAGATGAAGTTGTTGTTGGGGATTTGTGTATTGTGGAACACCAGCCCGGACGCCCATCGGTCTTGGATATTTTCCTTGATGGTAGTTTGGAGGTGGAGGATAACCCAAATTGTTCTAAAAATAATTTATAATGATGAAGTTTGTGAGGCTTTTGCGGCCCAGGTTTATTGATAAAGTGTTTTCATTCGGGCTTAATGGCTGTCCTAAGTTGAAATTGCTTCCTAATGTTTCGCTAGCACGCGTGGCTAGCATCTTCAGAGGTGCTTCCATGCCCGATTCTAGTAGCAGACTGACGTGTCCCCGACCGTAAGTTGTATTTATGTGTAAGTGGCTGTGGTGGGGGAAGGGGCGGGGCTTCGCAGCACATGATTAGTCTGATCTTTCTGTGTACTCAATGGGATCTTTTTTGCGTTTTTGAGGGGTCGAGTTCCAGATTTGGTTAAGTTTTAGTGTTTCTTCTTTCCTGTTGAAGTTCTCCGTATGTTTGTGGATTTCTATAGCATCACGTACAAGACGATTGTGGTATCCAGAAGTCGGTGTAAAAAGATGACCTAACCAAAGATTATTTCGTGATTCCCTTCACCTAAGCGCATGTTCCGCAACTGTTTCTTTTGTGCCTATTCATCCTGATTTCCACGGATCTTGTCGTTCATGTATACCTTACCACATGTGCATGGTATACAATAGACTCCAACGCTTGACAGTGGGTTCCTCTTATCCTTGGCTGATCTAATTGAATGCTATATTTTCCTTGTTGGTTTGAAAATTGTTTTCATGTTGTGTTACTTCAAGATTTTCCCTATCCTGCCTGTCACCCGAGAAATGAAAGGCAGATATGCATTAGCCACCATTGGTTGTTCATACACGTTTTGTCGTGTGGCAGTTTTGGGTCGCATGGCCCTATCGATTTCAGATGCATTTTAACCATTTGATAGAAAGACCGACTTGAGGTGATCCAATTCTTGCTCGAACTGTTGTGCCTCGCAGATGTTCCGAACACGTTCTGTTAACGTTGTTATATTTCCACTTTTTTCCCTTATATGGTGGTTTGAGAGTGCATACAGATACCTGTCTGTGTGTGTAGGATTCCGATACACTATGTGGCTTAGTTATCGTCTAGATTTCTTTAATTATGACCACATCTAAAAAGGCGATATTTCTTGATTTTTCTCCTTTTCCATGGTAAATTGTATGCTAGCATGTTGCGCGTTGAGGTAGCCTAGGAACTGCTTAAGCTTCTCTTCCCCATGACTCCAAACATAGACCTAACTACTACGTAGTAATTAGGTCTATACTCCAAACCACAAAAGTATCATCTCCGTATCGAAGCCATATCGTTGGTTTGCGGTCAAAAGATTCGATAGCTTTCGCCTCGAAATCCTCCATAAAGAAGTTGGCTATGCAGTAATATGTAGAATTAGCCACAATTTTAGTGCGTTAATTTGACGAATGTCATGAGAAAGAAGAAAATCAGTTTGTTTTATTTGAGAAGCGGTATGTGTTGTTGATAGTCAAGTTGATAGTAGAGAGAATGTGAGAAACTGCGTTAATTATTATCTTATTAAAACCCAAAAAGAATATGTATATATAAGTTTGCTTTATTGATAGGTGTTCGAATGTTGTGAAAAATTATGTAACCTTTAGAAACATAAAAAGAATAGACCAAAACCTTTTTCTATCACTCTTTGAACAGACGCTATTCTCTGAAATTTTGTATTGCAATAATATTGATGGAAAGGTACAAATATTAAATCAGGCCATTTTAGCGATCTTTGATGTAGTGGCTCCTTTAAAAGCAGTGTTAATTAAAAAGCAAAAGCCACCTTGGTTTACCGATAACATTAGAAAAATTACTAGAATGAAAGAGAAAGCATATAATCGATTTAAAAACTCGGGAGATGAGGTTCATTGGACGAATTACAAGGAAATACGTAATATGACAAATGTGGCAATACAAAACGAAAAGAAAAGCTATCTTGACTACTGCGCTAGAAATTTGGATCAGAAGCTTCTTTGGAAACGCCTGAAGCAATTAGAAATCGGAAACAACTCAAAACAAAATGATTTTCCAGAAAAGCTGGATGATCCAAAGGAAATAAATAATTTCTTTCTTAAATTCTCTGGAGTCTCATCCGAGGGCGACCCTGATGTTCTGCAGTAGTGAAAATAAAAAAACAAATTTTCAATCACTTTTCTTTTTTAGAACTGTTTCTGTAGATGAGGTAAACACACACCTAAGCAACTTAAAATCGTTAGCAACCGGTCCAGACTTGATTACCTTACAGATGTTACTTATGTGTTGTCCAAGAATTTTACCCTTCATCACTAATATCATCAACTCTTGTCTACTAGAAAGTAAGTTTCCTGCCGAATGGAAAGTAGCGAAGGTTAAACCGTTGCCCAAAAAAATATGCCAGAGGGATATAGTGATCTGCGACCTGTAAGTATATTTCACTGCATATCTAAGATCTTGGAGAAAATTATGGATAAACAAATCAGGGAACACATAGAGAAATATGAAATATTACCACAACAACAATCTGGTTTCAGGCCAGGTCATAGCTGCGTGACTGCACTTGCTGATGTTACTGATAACATACTGAGGGAAATTGATATGGGGAAGACCATTGCCTTGATTCTCCTGGACTACTCTAAGGCATTTGACACTGTCAGCCATCAACTTGTTGTCAATACTCAACTTTATAGGTTTTTCAATAACGTCAACTGCACTAATGAGAAGCTACCTGGAGGAACGATATCAATATACAGAAACAGAAAATGGTAAATCAGAAAAGACGCCAATCATGAGTGGAATTCCTCAAGGCTCAATTGTAGCTCCCTTGCTTTTCTCAATATATACATGTCATCTGTCAATATATATATATATATACACCACTGTAGGGACCATAATTATGCTGACGATAGGCAGCTTTATTTTTCATTTCATTCTGAAAACTGGCAGGAAGCTAAAAGTCTAATTGAAGAAGACCTTCAAAAACTGGCCTCTATTTCAGAAAAACATCAGTTAAAATTAAACCCTGATAAAACGGTAGTTCTTTTCTTTGGAAAAGATAAAACCATGGTTAGAAATAATATGAAACTTACAATGCTGGGAAAAGAATTAAAAATCGAAGAATGTGCAAGGAATTTAGGATGTTGGACACTGATATAAGATTTCGCCAGCATGTAAATAATAACATTAAAAAGGCTTATCTGTCTCTCAAATTACTTTACCCTCATAGACATCTGCTTACTGTCAGTCAAAAAATCCAAGTTACAGACACACTTGTTTTAAGCCACTTTAACTTTGGAGACGTATTATATGGAACCTGCATAGATCAAAACGACCAACGGAGAATACAAAAAGTTCAAAAATCTTGTTTGAGATTTATATATGGCATCAGGAAGTTCTCACCTATCTCCCACAAACTCAAAAATGCGAAATGGCTTGATATGTCAAAAAGAACATTGTCTCGTATTTTATCATGAAATAATTACCCTAAAAATACCAAAGTATCTATCGACTAAGATTAAATATAGAACTGATGTTCATAACCTAAACCTAAGATTTAGGGGACATGGACAGTTCACTTCCTATGAAAGTTGAGAGAATTTTATTCTACTACTTTTTTTTGAAGAAAACGTCTATTCTCGGGAGAACCAAACGTCAAACATGCGCTTTTCATGATGCCTTTCTTAACCGTTTCTGTTAGGGTAGACTGGTTATCTCAGTTTGTTGGTGTTCCGGAGTATGACTTAAGTTAGGATCCTTCTTTAGCTTTCGGTAGGTAGATGGATCGGTTGTAGTTTTCAGTTCTCAACAGACAGTTGCGTTGCCCTTATCAGCAGGTAGGATAATCATATCTTCCGCTGAATTCAGGTTCTTAATTGCCATTAGTTCCTTCTTAGAGAGGTTACTGGTTGGTGATCGAGGCTTTCGTAGAATGTTGGCCGTCTCAATACGGATTTCTTCTGCTTCTATACAGAGTAGTGTTCTGATGGGATGGCTGCTTCAGTGCTGGCTATAATCTCCTCCGTTAGCAGGTGTTGTGGAGTGACTGCGAAATTACTGTCTTTTGTCAAAATGGCTGTTTCCTTTTCGGTAAGGACTCGATCTGTGAGACTGATGACTTTTCTATGATTAGTTTTTAAGTTGTTTGTTACCCAACACTATTAGTTATTTGTACTCATTTAATAATTTATATTTAACTTGGCACGACATCAGGTCATATATGTCATGAAATAGAAGGTGGTTTTTAGAGAATGGCAGTTAGACACACGACTTGACATGAGAATAAAGTTAATAATAAAAAAGCTTTTTAAAAAGGGTTTCAATATTAAAATATACAGAAAAATTATTAAAACTCTAAACCAAGTGTACAACAAAACATGGTGTCAGGTGTGTTGCCGAAAATAGTTGAAAACAAGGAGAAAAGTGGAAACACATTTTCCTCAAAAATAGTTTATTAAAAAAAGAAATTGGAAAGAAGCTCGTAAGAACTATATAAACAAAAAGTAAAGTAAAATGGAATACTTCAAGTCCCAGATTCATTTAATGTGCAATAGCCAAATGGATGGCTAAAATGGAAACAGAGGTTTGATATCTTTTTGCTGGCTTCAGGAAAAAATACAGCAGACGAAATGGTGAAGGTAGCATTACTGTTAAATATCCTTGGTGAAGCATGCCTGGATATCTACAACACGTTCGATAAGGCAAAAACTAGCAAGTTAGAGGATGTTTTAGCTTGCTTCGATGATTATTTTTTACCAAAGAGAAATGTGAGCATGAAGACGTTTAAATTCAATAATATTCAGCAAAAGGATGGCCAGAATATTGATTCGTACTTAACGGAATTGAAAAAGCAAGCAGCTAACTGCTCGTTTATTTGTGAAAAAGATCAATGCAAAACTAGTTATGCTGAAAGAATTAATAAAGACAGAATGGTACTAGGTGTTCTTGACAAACAGGTTCAAAGACATTTGTTGAGGGAACCAATAATGTCTTTAGACAAAATGCTGGAATATTGTAGGAGTATTGAGGTAACAATGAAACATGTTGAACTATTAAATAATGGAACAGAAGAAAAACAAGAAGTCGATGCACTCAAGTTTTCTCGCAGATGTGGAAGATGTAATTTTAATCATCAATCTAGACAATGCCCCGCTTTTAATCAAATTTGCGCAATTTGCCAACGCAAAGGTCATTTTGCAAAGGTTTGTTTTTTCAAAGACAAGCCACAAGAGCGAGGTAGTAATTTGTATCAAAAAGGAACAGAAAGCAGGAAACAACAAGACTACCAGAAAAAAGGACAAAAAGAGACTGAGGTTAAGAAATAAACGTCAGAAGTTCAGGTCTTGGCAGAGATAAATACTATATAAACTGAACGGTCTTGGACAATGTAAATAATCAAAATTCCGATACAATAGTAAGTAATGAAATTACAGGTACTGAAAGTTCTATTTTGATTTATGAACAGAAACAAAATATTCAAAATACTAGTTGGTATGAACCGATTACAATTAATGATATTGACATTCAATTCAAGCTTGATACAAGAGCTGAATCTAGCGTTTTACCTTTCAAATATTTCAAGGATTTAAATATTGATAAATCTAAAATTATTACGGTTAATTATTACGGGTTAATCTGTGAAGGGCAGTTAGACACACGACTTGTCATGAGAATAAAGTTAATAATAAAAAAGCTATTTAAAAAGAAAGTGTTTCAATATTAAAATATACAGAAAAATTAATAAAACTCTAAACCAAGTGTACAACCAAACAATGACCAGTCTGGATTTGTCAGGTGCTGGGAAATTTCGGATTTGTTTCTTACAGAACTTCTCGTATTTTCGAATCTGGGCTTTTTTACTCCGATTTAGCTCATTATCCACGCTTGAGTATGAGATGGTATGAATTTTGTTCCAGTCCTTTGCCTGTATGTTGTTGCTGAGTGTCAGATGTAGGTAAAGTAGTTCTCTATCTACTGCAGCCAGATCCTTCCTTGTTTTATGGATCCGCTTTCGGACAAATGCTTTTTCTGGGAATTACGAAATACTTTTTGGAGGTCACGCTTTTTGCACCGACTTCCGAATACGACAATCGTCTTGTAGTGAAACTATAGAAATCCACAAACATACGGAGAAATTCAACAGGAAAGAAGAAACAGTAAAACTTAACCAAATCTGGAACCCGATCCTCAAAAATGCAAGAAAGATTCCATTGAGTACAGAGAAAGTTCGGACAAGCCACGTGCTGCGAACTCCGGCCCTTCCCCCACCACAGCCACTCACACATAAATACAACTTACGGTCGGGAACGCGTCAGTCTGCTACCAGGATCGGACATGTAAGCACCTATGAGGATGCTAGCGAAACGTCAGAAAGCAATTTTAACTTACGACGGCCATTAAGCCCAAATAAAAACACTTTATCAACTTCTCAATTCCCCGCTAGAGTGTTTATGACAACCTCAATGCTAACAACACATGAAATAGGGATCTAATACAATAAAGATTTACTATACAAGAAAAATTCTTACATTAGTACTGTAGGCTGGTGGTCTGGCAGGTAAAGAAACATTGGGAGATGGTACCGAATCCTCAACTTCCATCAAAATCTTCTGGATATTGTTGATGGCAGCGGATTCACTCAGCTGGAAACTATTGGTCGGTTGTCCTTCCTGGCCAGATTCGGACAGCAAAATGTTCCTGTCCGGCACAAAGTCTATAAAGTCATCCAAGATAGCCGAAAGTACTGGGTCGTTGTTGTTTTCGATCCAAATATGGTCTATGAAATTGGGCGGATTGGCTGCTACACAAATATAATTGAGATTGTTGATGAATGCAAATTTTATATTGTAACTTACCACCGAGTGGTCTGGAAAATGCGACCGGTTGTTGTCGTGCCCGGCCAGGTCGCATATTTCCCTGATTCATTGTGACCGGAATCAGTTTGGCAGGATCGGTTACGACTCTGGGCAGTTTTTCCTGAGGTGTAGCTGAGATCACGCTGGCCGGAATGGGCGGTATCGATGGCGGCGTCGGCGTCGGATTTTCCAGAAGTGAGGCCAGCATTTTGTTTTTCTGATAAATTTCGCTTTTTTCCGACGAACCTGACGAATTCTAATAAACACAACAATATGAAAAGTGTGCAAATAAATTATAATAAAAAAAAAAACGCGCCGCCAAGCTTTTTGTTGGCAAATAAGAATAATTTAATGTTCGAATAAATGCTGCTTTTCATTTTTAATGAATGTCTGAACGATACAAGTACAATTGCAATGAAAAATTTTCCCCCCTTTTTTGCTCGAGTTTCCATGCAATTTTCTTTTACAAAGGTGTTTTATTAACTGTATGAAGTGGGATTTTTTGAAAGAAAATGAAAGTGAGAACTTTTTTCTCAGGAGTACTTTTGACAATATGAGAATTGGCAACAATTATTACCTGTGAACCATTATTTATCCTTTTACTACTCCTATCGTCCTTATTATCCATAGACCTTTTATTTCCACTCGGAGACCCAGAAGGAAATCCCAAAGTCTTAAGCAAAACATCCTCGTGAGGTCCATTTTCATTTTTCCTCTCATCGTCGTCGTCGCTATCCTTTTTGAGCAGTTGCTGTAACAGCTCGCTGCCCTTTTTCATACCCGCTTTCGTTTCAATGTCGTCTTCATCATTTTTGTCGTTCAAGAGCTGAAAAAACATTAATAAATCAATTACGTTTCGTTATCGAATTGTTATTGGTGCAACGACTTTTTGTGCAATTCAAAATTCAATGCCCCTTTAGCTAGATTTTATGCAACTTGTACAAACACAACCGTGTTGTAATTTGCAGTAAACATTTTGATTTGAGATAACAAAATTATTCTTGTGATTGATTTGATAATTTTCAGGTTTTGAGGTTCAATTTTTTTTGATATTTGAATAACAATAATATATTATATTCAGCCACAATAGATAAGATAAGTAGAAATCTATAGATTTTGTGGTTATTGTTTTTCGTCTGTATAGAACAGAAAAATCGCGGATATAAAATATGTGCATCGGAGGTGCAATGAACTGTTTTTTTTAATATTATATTCAGGCATGTTGATTGTTTTAGCGTTATCTCGTAAAAATGGATGCGCAATTTTTCGCAATGTCAACTTGGATACGTGGATTATAACGTTCGAGAGTCTGAAGTAGTGATAGTTTGAATCATTTTTATTTAAAATTGTGTGTTAGATTGCCACTTACTGATAAATATTTGCGATTAGATAAGATTTTAAAAGTTATTTGAATGGAAAATTGCCTTATTTTATGTTTATTGTAATGTGGGAACGTCGTTGCCTTTTCAATTTAGAACCACATGTTTCGGTTTCTTCAATTTGTTGACTTGTTAGTACACTTAAATCTTCATCTATGTGTTCCATGTTTTCCATTATTCTCGAACAATTTCATCATCCTCTTCACTATCTCCTTTATACGTGGGTTCCGCTGATGTCTATGAACTTCTAATATTGTTTTGCTGCCATTATGATTCTGAGTCCGGGTCTGGTCTGAGTATAGTGGTCGGCTTGCCAACACATTGTCCCTAATGTGCCTTTCCTTTTAAAATCCTTGGGTTTTAGGCTTCCTTTTTTTTCCGCCAGAAAAATCAAAGTCGGAATTTCCCAGATTTTCTTCCACTACGTCATAGATAGAAATGTCGAAACCCACTTAATTTCCCGTTTTCCAGGAGTTTTTAGCCCTCTTCTATACCCTACAAAATGGAAAATCGAAATTTTCCGAATTTTGGGAAAACAAAAATGCCAGTGTATAGAGAAGATCAAAACAAGCGAAAAAGCTATTTGGCATTTTTCTCTAGGACGTCTCCTAAACCTGGAGAAAAAATAAAAAAGAAAATCCATCGGAGGGCTTTTTCAGCCTGACATGGTTTCATGAAATCGGCCATAACTCTGGAACGCTTGGATCGATTTCAATGAATCATGTTCCATTCGATAGAGAATTAAATTGCCTACAAAATGGCTTTAGTTTCCAAGTTATAGGCCTTCAAACTTGAAATTTTCCCAAAAATTAACCTTAGCTTTGTTCCAGGTGGAGTTTCATCTTCCAGGACAACTCTTAGTGCCCTTTTGTTTCAAGTTGAAAATGTTATAAAATTTGATCCAAATTGAGTTTTTGTTTTTCTGATGCTGTTCGATCGGGTTACATATTCATCTTTTGTCCGGTGATTTATACTGATACTTTATGTATGTATTAACATTGTGTCTTTTTTGTTCCAAGATCAGTAAAGTTGGGTTATACTTATGTTTATGTATAGCCTTTATAAGTTAAAAATGTAAGAGAATTTACTTCAACTTTAGTTTTTATTATTTTTCTGATTGTTTGCGATCGACTGCCACATTCATTGGCGGATCCAGGATTTTCTTCAAGGGAGGACGCAAGTTATGAATTATGACCAATGATTTTTTGAGCACTTATTTTTACTTTACATACGTTGTTGAAGAATGTACAGGGTGGTCCAATTTGGATACTTTTGATAGGAAACGTAAATTTCTGAGCCAGATACAGAAAAAATTAATCCCTCACTCTGAGGCTCAAATTTTATTACGAATAATGTTTTTGGATTTTTAACAATACTGTGAAACCTTCATAAAAACTTATTATACAGGGTGTCCACTTAGTAAGATAATGGACGATATCTCCTTACAGGGTGATGCAAGAAAAAAAAATTACAAAGTTGTTTGATACTCTAATATGCATTAGTTAAAAATATTTTTAATTATACAGGCAGGGGCGCCCGCAGAAAAATATGTAAGGGGGTCAAAATTAATTTAATAAATTTTTTATGCGTAAAAAAGGGCACTTCAGTCTAAATTATCATCATAAATAAATATTTACATAAAAAAAAACTTAAAACATTCTTTCTATCTAAAAAATCACCAATTCGGAGATACTTAGCTATACAGGGTGACAATTTGAAAAGTAGCAATCGGCAATATCTCTTAGACAAAAAATACTATTAGGAAGATCTCAAATACGTATTGGGGGATTGGAGGAAGAACCAAAATGAGGAACTTTTTGAGCCTCACCCCTTAGTTGGTAGCTACCCTAACTTATTTTTTTTAAATACAAACCTGCCTTGTGTTGCACATTGTTCGATAGCTCGTTGCTTTCCCTTTACTGTCTTGTAGCAAAATCTTAAATCGTACGAACATTTTTGAAAAATACACCATTTCCAACATTATTTTAGAAAGCTTCAATTGTATTTTAGAATAGTCATTTGTATTTAAGAAATTTATTCCATTATTCATGGGGGATTTCTTAAATACAAATGAGCAAATGACTATTCTAAAATACAATTGAAGCTTTCTAAAATACTGTTGGACATGGTGAAGTAATTTTGACTATCTCTAAACAAAAAAAATCTGCCATAAAAGTCTCCCATACACATCAACCAAATAATGTGTTTATTGTAATTCTATCTGCTTCTGCATGCCTCCAAAGAGGAATAAAAAACCTTCCAAAGGAGGTATCACACGAGGTAGTTTCTCATTCTACACCATTTCAACCTCAATTTCAAAAAAAGTAACTGTTATTTAGGAAAATGTAAATTCAAATTCGGAAAAAATACATTCAATTACGGAGAAAATAATGTTATTTTTCATAGAATAGGTATTTTGAATTGATTGAGTCCTTTATCTATTTAGAAAATCAAAAAAATTGTCCATATTTCTCAAAGAGACCTGATTTTTAAACCATAAAAAAAAAGAAAAAAATTACCAAGTCTACTTACATAGAGGATGTCTGAGGATGACATCAAAAACGAAATAGAAGAATCAGATATTGAATTGATAGATCCAAATAAAGGAATATTTATAAAGGAAAAAGAACATTCGAGTGACATCAATTTATCAAGACAAGTTATTGGGAAGTTTCAATGTTACACTTGCAATGTTACATTTAAAAACAAATCAAATTTGAAACATCATTTAATAACACATGTGGATATTTGTTTTTTCGAATGTAACACTTACAAAGCGGAAAAAATGAGTTACAGCGTCACATATCAACACTCTCAGATATTTTTCCTTTTAAATGTGACACTGGTAAGAAAATACTTAAAGGAAAAGGTAATTTGAACGCACACATATTAACAGAAGAGACAAACTAACACACTTGGACGAGAAGAATTTTAAATGCAACATATGCAATGCAAAATTTAAAGAAAAATTTAAATCAGCAAAATTTAAACAAAAAGGTAATTTGAAAAGTCACATATCAACAGACTTCGATAGTTATCTTTTTGAATGTGACATTTGCAAAGCAAAATTCAAAGGAAAAGACTGTTTAAAGAGACACAAACTAACACAGTCTGATATGTATCCTTTTAAATGTGACACATGCAATGCAAAATTTGAACACAAACGTAGTTTGAGAAGCCCCATATTAACACACTCGGATGAGGAGAATTTCAAATGTAACATTTGCAATGCAAAATTTAAAAGAGAAGGCGATTTGAAGGAACGCATATTGATACACTTGGATATTTATTTTTTTTAAATGGGACATTTGCAAATCAAAATTTAAACGGAAACGCGATTTGAAGATACACAAACTAACACATTCGGAAATTTATCCATTTGAATGTGACACTTGCAAGGCAAAATTTGAAGAAAAGTAATTTATAAAGGCACATTTCAACACACTCGGATATTTATCCTTTTGAATGTGACACTTGCAAATCAAAATTGATTCACAAACTAACACATTCGGATATTTATCCATTTGAATGTGACACTTGCAATGCAAAATTTAAGCAAAAACATAATTTGAAAAGCCACATGTTAACACACAGATTGTTTATTATTTGATTCACTTAATAGTAACATGTGTTTCGCTCCGGGATCCTTGAATTCAGCCACAAAATTCACCAGTTCCGAAATAAGGAAAAGGGTGACAATTTATCAATATGCAAATCGGTACACTGAGATATAGATATTAAATCAACTTATTTACTTCTTATAAATAGCTAAAATCACAGGCATGGTAGAGGAAGATCCAAAACTTGGGCATTGAATATAAAAAAAAAGATTCAGAAATCGGTAAATCGTTACATAATTGTTTCGGAATGATGTTTTTGGAGAATCAAGAAGTTAGCGATTTCTTTGTTTTCGAGTTGTTAGCTATTCAGCCGAATCACGAAGTTCTAGTTGAATTTTCAGATTATCTTATTGACACATGGCATATGCCTCGATAGACCTGAATAAGAAAACAAATGCCTGTGAATCTTTCCATAGTCATTTTGGTAGATCTTTTTATTTTGCGCATCAAAATACATATTTCCACTTTTTTAGATTTATTAACTCATGCAATGCGAAATCTGTCAACGTCATAAGGTAAGTTTCATGGGAAGTAGGTGGGGTTTCATGATTTGGTCGAATTCAAAGGTAGGATTACTGCAGTTACCTGGTTTGTGGCCGAATTCAAGTATGCCCGTTTCGCTCATACGAGCATCATCGGACCTACAAAATAATATATATAGAAAATAATTAAAATTTAAGAGATTTCCAGGGGGGTCGAGTGACCCCCCCTGACCCTCCCTGTGAGCGCCCTTGTATACAGGGTGCTTCGTTTATGGGTTATGCGAGAGAACTTTGTTTTTTTAAATTGAGCACCCTGTGTGTGATTGCATATTTGGATTCTACGTA